CAGCAAGGACAGTTCACTCTTGCAAGAAGGAATTAGTTGCTTTGATGAGGCTGGTTAGGAAAGAGTTAATACTATCAGCCAAATGTCAGTGAACCCCTAAATGTTGCTTTTGTCCCATGGCAGTGTCAATACCAACACTATTATCTCAATTTATTTAACACAGAACAAATTAATTGGCTCTAAGTGTTGCTTTTTCCCTGAAATCCCTCATCCCATCCCTTCTTGGAGAGAGCTCCTGTGAGCAATGAGCAAGGGAATAAACCGCTATGCAAACACACACAGGCACACACACACACAGAGGGAAGTTACAATTTCTCACTTAGTTGCTGATTTCTGTGACTACAAATCTTGGTGTCACCCGCCACACACTACTCCTCTGTACTAAATCCATCATCCTCGACACATTCAGATGTATCCGAGATGTGTGTCAAACCAGCAACACTATAATTTTTATAATGACAAGGAATTAAGTATGATTACTAGTCTTTCCTCTCACTTGTTCCCTTCCCCTAACGATACCATCCAATTGCCATTTTCCTCACGGTTGTATATTTTGGTTCCCATTGTCTGTCGTACCCAATACAATAACCGAAATGTCTGCGACACGGGATCTGCCTGTCTCTGGTAGGTCTAGCAAATCTGAAAACCTGTTGTTACAGCTTTGGGGAACACAATACATTGTCACTTCCGAGGAAACGTTGTAAAAATAACCGTACATACAGTTCAGCCAGAAATCTCTTCAGTCATACCTGTGCTATTCTTCCATTGTGTTTAATACACCACGAGCAGGTTATTTCATAAAAGACATTGCCAAAGAGGTCACTTGGGTGCTTTCTCCTACTACTGGGCTCCGTGGCCCGTCGTCTGTCTGGGACACATTGCTACCAGCCAACCTGGAGAAGAACTTGCCATTGCTTTCCCTGAACTTCTGACAGTGAAAATCTGGTGTTCAGCTAAAACTTTCCCTTTCCCACCTCCCCGCTCCTACAAACCGCCCCGAATCGTCAAGATTGCCATTAATTAAAAAACGAAAGAAAAAAAAAAGAGAAAAATTAAAAAAAAATAGGAAGAAAAAAAGGAACCAGAGAGCCAGCAGTCTTATGGGAACAGCACGGCAGGTAAACCAGGTTAGCATCGTTCCGTAACGGCCACGAGCTGGCGGGGCAGGG